GTTCTTAGCTTTAGTTATTTGTCATAAAACAAGACCTTTCCTGAAAGTTATAGGGTCATTTTTCTTGTTGGCTGCCATGTCATGCATTTTAAAATTTGTGTATTTAGGGAGCAATCATTTCATTCACATTTCATTGAATAAGACAGACAAGGTGCTTTGATTTAGTTTTTTATACATTTGCTCATGAGATTTAATATTCTTTTTTTTTCAGATGATAAATTATATAAAGACATCCCGAATGTTCTTTTAATCCGAGCGCTTTCGGCCATACGTTTAGCTATTTTCAAGGTTGAAATATATTAACTGTTAACAAGAAATAGTTTGTTGCATGTATGTATTTATATAATGTTTTCATTTTGAAAACACGGTCAAGATATTGTGTCCATGTTCATTGTTGATATTACTGAGTGTTGTTTTTTTGTTTTTATTAATAAAGGCTTCTATTATTTTTAGCCTTTTTTCATGTAGACGATGCTATTATATTATTGTTGTCAGCAATACATACATACATACATATATATATATATATATATATATATATATATATATATATATATATATATATATAAAAGTGGACATAGAAGTCAAGACTTAGATGCGACAGTCTGTTTCATGCTAGATGCAATCGTCAGGCCACCTGACGATTGCATCTAGCATGAGTTCTATGAGTTCAAATGCCCCTTAAGGAACTGTGTCCCTGATCAAACCGGACTCATAAATAATTACATCGGTTACACAACCACATGCTTATCCGTCTTACGTTACACCTATCTGATCACAGCTCCATTAGAACCCATATATATACACACACAAATTTAACCGACTCCATTGGGAACATACTAGTAGAAAACACAAATATATTAACTGCATCCACCTGCAAAAAAAGACTGAAAATAATGGAAGCTTTAATAATAAAAAAGAAAAAGCCAACTCTTAACAATATTAACTACGAACAAAGCCACAATGTGCTAACTGTATTCGGAAATTAAAAACATCCCTACCACACACTAAGACGTACACATAACGCACACTCAATTAAATTGAAAAATCGAATCATCCTTGATAATGGCTAAAGGTATAGCCGAAAGCGCTCGGAAATATAAAACATTTGGACAGTTCTTACACATTCTTTGTCCAGAAAAGAAAGCTCTTTTAGAAAACAAGAAAAATTAAATAAAAAGCCTAACCGTAGTAACTTGTTTGTCGTTTTTAATGAAATATGCATAAAGGAAGGATTGCTGCCTAAATATACAACTATACCTATATATATATATATATATATATATATATATATATATATATATATATATATATATGGTCTCCCAGCAGCCACCTTCTTGACCATAAGCAGTACCATCTCCTCAAGGCACTTGATGTAGGCCTCTATGTCGAGTCTAAAGCCCTGTGGGAAGATAAATGGATGCATAACACCGTCATAAATAGTAATCACTCCGAACACCATGATGTTGACTAGATATTTGGTTTTCATAATAGTCAGTATATCGTTTTGGGGTTGTTCTGTGTGTTCACCATCTTAGTCCGACATAAAACTTTCTCGTCTGGGAAAAAGCAAAGCATGTTCAGAGAGAGGGGATGCTTGAGTTGGTTGAAACCGCTTCGTAGCGCGTTTTTTTTTCCTACTGTCCTTCATGCCATAGGATAAAATTGGCCCTTTCTCATCTTGTATGTCTTCATGCACTGCCTGCCTGATAAGAAACAGACACTCCTTTGTCCTTGGTTATCGACGTCATTTAATTGGAGGGATCATTGTCAATTACGGCCTGGAACTCACCCACAATTTTGAAAGTTTTTTCTTGCTGTCATGTGGGTGCTTATGTATTATAATCTGAGTGTGTTTGGGTTGTTTTACGCGTGAGGTTAGGACCCCATTCACACACTTGGGATTAAAATGTATACATATTGTCAGAGAACCGGATGACATATCAGCGTCTATTCTAACGTAATTTCAATGAAGAAATAAATTGAATAACATATGTATTTCTTCTTTTTTCCTCAGTAATTTTATAATTTTAAACTTAATAGTGATTAAATTTTGAATTTAAAATTGGTAATTTTTACTTTTAATTTTAATTTGGTTAGAATAAATTCTTTCTTAATATTGCCCCTATTTTAAAGATCTGAATAGCTATTATAACATGACTTCGTTATCAAGCTTTTTGAATTTTCCTATACTTGTATTTTGATTAGTCATTCTAGCTTTTGTAACAACGTTTAAGGATCGTTAATTAATTTGAAACTTTTAAAACCATTTATTTTACATTCAACATCATCACTTGATAAGACACCGGAGGTGTTGAAACAAAATGGCTATTTTTGTAGTGATTTTATAACATATTTATGTTATAATTTTTTAAAAATAAATAATTATATATATATATATATATATATATATATATATATCTGTGTGTGTGTGTGTGTGTTGATGTAATAGGAAAGAACAGTTAGAATAATGTCCAATTTTTTTACTATTTATGTTTTTATTTTTAAAAAAACTGTGCTCGACACAACAGTAGAGCTTAAAATTATAATTATTTTTTTAAAAAAGTATGATTCCATCAAAAATTACTGTTTCGAAACTTGACTCAAGTCCTAAAGTTTAATTTCAATGTTAAACTTAAAATTTAGAGTACAGTTTCATTCTCATTTTTCAGAAATGTTTTATTCATTTATAGGTGTGAAATGGTGGTGCAATCTGTTTTTTTTTCTTTCGTTATCAAGGCATGTCTATTTTGATGAAATGATGAATGTTTATTATATGTCAAATTCATATATATATATATATATATATATATATATATATATATATATATTATTTCATATTATTACTGCCATTTATATGAGATGAGTCCTAATTTTGCCGGGACTGGTTTGTCCGAACAATGCTCCGTATTTAAAAGTCAATGAGTGACACAAAATTACGATAAAAAGCATAAAAATAAGATGAAAAATACCCAATTCATAATTAAAAATACAATTAAATTATGTAAGAAATGAATTTCTTCATAATATTCCTATACATACGATATCTTCGCAGCAAATATTTTGCTTATTTCTTAAAATGAAGGAACAAGATTATCACATTTGTTAGACGCGCCGATAATTTGAAGAGACTTGTCATCAGTGCTAAATCTGTACTTTTGAAAGTAATATTTACTTCGAATGGATCGAAACAAACATAAAAATTCAGGATGAAGAACTGGAATGAATACAGGAATATAGCTGCGTTTGATAGGTAATAATGTTAAGGATGTACCATAAACATTAAATAAATCGAAGGCATAGTGAAAAGCAGGTTGAAAGGTAGTGTATAATGAAGTACAGTTTATAATTTATTGATTCGTTTTGTACGACCTATCAACACTTTTCTGTTTATTTAAAGCCAGAATTATTTTTAGATTCTGAGATTTTTTTTTTTTTATAATAATGAATTCATAAGAGTCTAACTAATTAAGCAATATCTGAGCGAGAAAAGGTGGATTCATACCTTTCCCAATTCATACCTTTGCGCGTAAATGTATACAACGAATCCAACTGAAATTGGAACTCGGCTCTTCGATTAACAATCCCAAGCCATTAAAAATTACACCACCCACACATCCAAGCTCACAGAACTTACTATTTCCAAGCGGTCACACATCTAGGTACTGCTAAATTTTTATATTCGGTGATCGTACAGGAACCTGTCTTTCAACGTGATATTACCGAAAGCCATGCGGTTAATGGTAACAGCGTTGTTAGAAATAACATGAGAGGAAAATGAACATTCAGAAGAAGATAGAGTATATCGTAAAAAAAAATAGTGAGCGTGGTGTTAGGTGAAACTCAGCAAGAAGAAAGGATAACAGGTGGAGCAAATGGCACGTTGATATTAAAATGCAATAGGTAAAATCCGAACATTGGGATGGAAAGATGAGACTGAAATGTTAGCTCGTAAGACGTTGCAGAATATAACAGATCCCTGGTCTCCACGAAAGACACTGGAAAATGTCTTTATCTAGAAGTGGACACACACTGGCTGCTGCTAGAGATGATGATATATAAGTCTGTATGTAGGTGTGGGTTTATTGATTTCATCACTCTGTTTTTCTTTTCTGTGCAAAAGATCCCAAACAGTAACAAGATAAAAATATACCTTCAGGCTATTCCGCTGAAAAATTTATACATTATCAGAATGGTTAAACCGCTGTCTCTCTAACATTATTCGTTCTTTGTTCTTCTAGATTTCCATTGATTCATTTATTGTTATACATATATATATATATATATATATATATATTTTATTCCGTATTCGATTCCTTCTTTCTCGGTACCTTTCATTCGTCTCATATTTATCTCTTCTGTTTTTCCTTTCTGTCTATCTCGTTCCTTCATTTTTGTTTTCTTCTTGATGCTTTCTTTATTTTTTAATTTTTTTCCATCTACATTTTCTCTTATTTGGTTGCTTTCCTTCTTTTGTCATCATCTTTTCGACTTTTGTCTTTCTTTTTACGTTTCATTCAATCCATTCGCATCTATTTTTATCATTTGCATCACAATTGCGCAGTGATCTTGATATACTTTGCGTCAAACGTACTTCCCCCTCTATAGTTTGCTGTTACATCTGCGGCATCAATTCCGTCCTTTCTAAGTAATAGTCCATGTACACCTATAACTAAAATACGTAGCCCCAGATTAAAATGATTGCACATTTGTAGATTGAAATTAATTTTTTGCCTAAGAATATCAAAATTTAACGGCCTCATATGTCATTGATCTCTTTTCTCTTTTCATTTCTTTAACACATGACATATATATATATATATATATATATATATATATATATATATATATGTACTGACTGATAACTGATAACTCGCCGTTACATAATTTAATTTTTGATATATATACAGGACTATAAAGATAGTGGCACATTCCATATTATTTATATTATATTTTGGCATTTCTTTTATATAGGAAGGATGTGTATATCTATACAGGCGATGTTCTTTTTGTTCGATGTGCTTACATTTTATATACAGTGTAACCCGGATATAAGAGAAACCCGGATATAAGAGAAATTTTATCTGGTCCCAAATTAGAGCCTGTGTTAATGTATATAAAATAGACCAAACACGGTTATAAGAGAAACCCGGATATAAGAGACTTCTTCTCCGGTCCCGACAACTCTCTTATATCCGGGTTACACTGTATATTTCTTGGAAAAATGGTAAGCCATATATCATATCTATCTATGAATATCTTTTTTAAATTTATATATGTAAGTATGCGTATACCTATGTGTATGAAAGCATATATATATATATATATTTTTATGTTTAACGTTGTTATTTTATAGATACAAGTATTTAAGCAAATGCGCTGTTTATGATAAACAGTATTAAATAACATTTACCGGCCTGAATGTCCGAGAAATTTTCATAGAAAATTTTCGTTCTTTGACAGGATTCGAACCTGCATCCTATACGGAACCGTCATATACGCTGACGTGCCTTTACCGCTTGAGCTACAAAGAACCAATCGGTAGACAAGGTCGAATTTACTGCTTATAAACTCCAACTTTCCATGAATCTCGTACATTCATAACTGCTCTGGCGTATCGAATGTAAACAAATGACGTCATATATTAAGAAATGGACATTTCTTAATATATTGGTTATGATTGTCGAAATTACACAGAATAAAAAAAATATGAACTTGACAAAAAACTGGCATAAAACAACCGATTCTAAAAAACAAAAGAAAATTAATAATATTTTCGACTGAGTGGACAGGTGGGCGCTGTTTAATAGAACTTGTTTGAAAGAATCATTTCTGCCTAAATACCTAATATATATATATATATATATATATATATATATATATATATATATATATATATATATATATATATATATATAGATTAAGTCCTTTGTAAGGTGTGGGCTGTAGTTGTGGGTACTATTATTTTTTCTATTTCTTTAAGGCATGGACCACCAGAAATCCGTTTAATCTGTCTATTGGAAACTTTTCCAATAAATCCGATGGCTCTAATTACAACTGGAATTATCGATGTCATCATGTGCCATAATTTTGATATTTCCACTTCAAAATCCTTGTATTTTGATAGTGTTTGGAAGATCGTCAAAGATCCACGCCACATTTGTTTATTTTGTGTAACAATGAACATTACTGCCGACCATTCGACCAGTATTAATTAACACATTAGAACTCAAGACACTAATGACTCTGCAGTAGCACTTACCCCTCACGCATACACACAAAAAAAAAAAAACAGGAAAAGGCTGGCTTCTTTTTCGTTCCTTTATCACTTAATTCCAGCGAGGCTTGCATGCACAATCCGCTATATATAAAGATAGCTAAATGAATTGTGGCACGGCGTATGAAGATCAAATTGAAGCGTCAACCTATAGAACACACACACACACACACACACACACACACATATATATATATATATATATATATATATATATATATATATATATATAATTTAAAGAAAAAACAGATTTATGGTTCCATTGTTATAATTTATTTCACCAGAGATTTTATTTTTCTCTGGATATTCAGACTTCACTTTATATATATAATAAACTATATGTTAAAGTATGCTATATTTATGGCCATAAGGGCTCAGTAACTGGGACAGCGCTTTGTAAATATGAAATATATTAGTGGACACTGATATTAACACCAAGTGGGTGATTTGCCGTTTAGTGTTTGAACGCAATATCATGTTTAAGCGTGAACCAGACTCGGCGTTAACCCCAGGTTCCACCCATATATATATATATATATATATATATATATATATATATATATATATATATATATATATATATGTTGTGTTCGTCATCGTTTGAAGAGAGAGAGAGAGAGAGTTCTGGCAAACAGTCAATAACAAAACGCATATTTATTACTAAAATAAGTTTTGCTCTGTTATTGTTCATAGAGAACAACTTTATTACCACTAGCACCCACTGTGGACTCATTTATATATATATATATATATATATATATATATATATATATATATATATATATATATATATATAGAAGGAAGAAGCATTTTACCTTTAGAAATTTGACTGGTTTTCTATTGTTATTTTATCTTCATCTAATATCTTCTGGGAATGAGAGAAAATGTCGAAATGTTTACATATTTTTAATTCTATTCTGTATGTTTTCATATCTCCGCGTTTTCCCTCACTTGCCAAAAAATCTCCTGAAGCTAAAATAAAATTATCCAAACATGTCAAATCTATAGATTGTTTTCTTATAATTGTTTATTTAAACATTTTGTAACATCTCTCGCATATTTCACAATTCATCTATCTATCTATCTATCTATCTATCTATCTATCTATCTATCTATCTATCTATCTATCTATCTATCTATCTATTGGCTTCAATATGTTCATATCTATCTATCTATCTATCTATCTATCTATCTATCTATCTATCTATCTATCTATCTATCTATGTATCTGTCTGTCTGTATGACTGTATTGTTATTCATTCACAATCATATCTGGAATTATTTTCACCGTTTGGCTATCATATGTATGGTGTTTTATCGTGTCCCAGGGCGAAACAATATCATCTAGCAATTTTCTCACAGCCAGAGCAGAGGTGGAAAATGAAAGGGAAGAATAGATTACAGATAAACAAGAAGAAGAAAATGGAGAAGAGTAATTTAATGGCAGGAAGGAAATTTACAAAAGAATAAATGCAGGCGAAAAAGGTCGATAAATATGGAATTAATTTTTGTTTTTCACATAGAACATAAGATAGACCGGATAGACACATAAATAGAAGGTTAATAAAAGCAATATAAAGAGGAAGAAAAGAGATCATCAAAAATGTAGGAAAATAAAAAAAAAACTCGATGGAAAGAAAGAAAAATATTTATATTGAACATTAGTGAAAAAAAAGAAAACCTGAGATGAAAATAAATGGAGGTAAAGAAAGTAGAAAAAAGTGAAATGGTGTAAAGAAAAGGAAGAGAAAAGTGAAAGTATCAGGTTATCCCATAAGTTCTGTCCGAATTTTGAATAAAGAAAACAAGTGAACAAATGTTACATTTAATTACAGATTCAATTAACAATGTATTTTCACTGATTATCTATGACTTCCTTCCATCTATTAATAAGCTTACTAATTCCATCACTGTAAAATTCTTTTGGCTTTGATTCAAAGAACTCACAAATATCAGTTTTAACCTCTTCCTGTGTTACAAAAGAGTTGCTTCCAAATTATTCTGTAAGTTACGAAACAAATGGTAATCTGAAGGAGCAAGATCGGGAGAATAAGGTGGATGAGGAATTTTTTCCCAACCAAGTTCTTCGATCTTTTGTGACGTGATTCTTGCTGTGTGGGATAGCGCATTGTCCTGATGAAACATCACCTCTTTTCGATTCACTAGAGCAAGTGTTTTTTCCTCAAAGCTTGGTTCAAACGCTCTAATTGCTGACAGTATATTTGAGCATTAATTGTTGCATTAGGTGGTAAGAATTCAAAGGGGATTATTCATTGGCGATCCCACCAGATTGAAAGAAGAACCTTTTTCCCATGAAGTTCCCTTCTCGGCTATGGTGGGGTCCTTCCCCTTTACCAAGCCACTGTCTACAACGCTTAACATTTCGATAAAAGATCACTTTTTCGTCGCCAGTCACACGTCTATCCAAAAAAAGTGAAACAAGTTGGCGAGAATGGAGAGAAGAGCAGATGTCAACTCGGGATTTGAGGTTGTTTTCAGACAATTCATGAGGCACCCATTTTCTAAGTATGGGAACTTTTCCAAGTTGTTGAAGATGACGATGAACAGTTGTATGGTTTGAACTGAGAACCACTGCCAATTCCTCAACTGATAAAGCAGGATTTTCTTCAAGGGCTGCTTCAAGAAGCTTTTCATCAAATTCAACTGGGCGTCCAGTTCGATCTTCATCTTCAAGGGTGAAATCTCCTCCTCTGAATTTTGAAAAACATCTTCTGCAAGTTCTTTCATTCACACATTCCTCTCCATAAACTGAGTGAATGTTTCTAGCTGCTTCGGCTGCTGAGTTTCCTTTCTTGAGCTCATAAAGAATTATGTGCCTCAAATGCGAAAAAGCAATCGTCGACATGATGTGTGCAATTACTCCAATACTGTACAGGAAAATGCACAATCATGTAAAGAATCATATTGTCCCAACCTTAGCGTACGATCTCTAAATTTGCGACAATGTGTACAGGATAATTTTGATTATCTGTCTTTTGAATATATTGTCCGTTCATTTGAATGTTTGGATCCGAATACGGTATAGTTTTGCACTAATAAAATTTGAATTTGAAATTTAGCTTTTGACGTTAAACTTTTCTTTGTTAAATAGCCGTAGGAAGTTTCAGGTTCAAGCAAGCCATACGTTTGTGGCAATAATGCCAAGGGTCGAAAATCAACGCAAGTTCAGCGTCAGAAAATACAGGGGGTGCAAATCGGGGTCAAAATTCACATCACAAGGCAAAACTCGCAAGTTGCAACTTGCAACGCATAACTCGCCACAGACAATAGAGAACTACCTCTAAAAGCTAAAGCAGGTTGTGATTGGGAAGGAAGCGCAAACAATAACCATATTACTAAAGTGCACACGATCTTCGTTCGATTTACTTTTTCGGCAGAAAGAATAGCGTTTTCATTTACCACATCTTGAGTGTCATTTTCGATAAATCATCTGGCCAGTACAGTGGCAGGTTACGTGATCGACACCTTTGTCTTTCTTTAGGAAGTGTTCCTCCCCAAACAGACTGGAATCCTTTCAGAGTGAATTATGAAAATTATATAGAAAATTTGTTTATGAATACTGCAGGGCACGGTGATAGATCGAATTGTTTGATTTGCACCAGATGGGCAGGAGAAACCTGCCTCACTGACCAGGTCACCACATAAGTAATCATGGACCACTAATAGGCCAATACGAAAAAATAGTTTAATCGCCCCAGATGGGCAGGAGAAACCTGTCTCACTGACCAGGTCACCAGATAAGTCATCATGGACCACTAATAGGCCAATACGAAAAAATAGTTTAATCGCCCCAGATGGGCAGGAGAAACCTGCCTCACTGACCAGGTCACAAGACAAGTCATCATGGACCTCTAATAGGCCAATACGAAAAAATAGTTTAATCGCCCCAGATGGGCAGGAGAAACCTGCCTCACTGACCAGGTCACCACATAAGTAATCATGGACCACTAATAGGCCAATACGAAAAAATAGTTTAATCGCCCCAGATGGGCAGGAGAAACCTGTCTCACTGACCAGGTCACCAGATAAGTCATCATGGACCACTAATAGGCCAATACGAAAAAATAGTTTAATCGCCCCAGATGGGCAGGAGAAACCTGCCTCACTGACCAGGTCACAAGACAAGTCATCATGGACCTCTAATAGGCCAATACGAAAAAATAGTTTAGTCGCCCCAGATGGCCAGGTGAAACCTGCCTCACTGACCAGGTCACCAGACAAGTCATCATGGACCTCTAATAGGCCAATACGAAAAAATAGTTTAATCGCCCCAGATGGGCAGGGGAAACCTGCCTCACTGACCAGGCCACCAGACAAGTCATCATGGACCACTAATAGGCCAATACGGAAAAATAGTTTAGTCGCCCCAGATGGGCAGGAGAAACCTGCCTCACTGACCAGGTCACCAGAGAAGTCATCATGGACCTCTAATAGGCCAATACGAAAAAATAGTTTAGTCGCCCCAAATGGGCAGGAGAAACCTGCCTCACTGACCAGGTCATCAGACAAGTCATCATGGACCTCTAATAGGCCAATACGAAAAAATAGTTTAATCGCCCCAGATGGGCAGGAGAAACCCGCCTCACTGACTAGCTCACCAGACAAATCATCATGGGCCTCTAATAGGCCAATAAGAAAAAAAATGCGCATCATTTTACGGACACGTGGGTGCTTTACCAGGGATATAGCTCCTGAAGGTGCTATCGGCCCTGGATTCGGTGACAATAAGGACATTGTCCCTGTTAACAACGGACGTTAAGACGTTGGTGTCAACAGAGATACTATGGAGGAAGCCATGAAGGGACTGAATATTGGGGCCAAAATATTGGACAAAATGAGCAACGCCTTCAGAAACACCCTGCTGGCAAGAGAGGGGGCAGAAAAAGCTGGGTGTAGCCCCACAACGAAATCGGTGAGGTTACAAACATGGCTATTACAGATGACCATCTGAGGACCTCTTTCACCGAGTATGGATCTGTCGGGTACACCTCTGTCATTATAAGTAAGGCAGCCATAGCTACTGTAAATGCGAGCTCCTTGTATAGGTCTCCCGCAAGAACGTTGGTCTGCGGGAAACAGCAGATTAATGTCATTGTTGAAGGCACCACGAGACATTTGTCTAAAGCATGTTCCGAGCGAAACCCAGTGCCACAGACCAAACTAGCACCACCAAAGGAAGCGGTGGGATTGGATAAATTTCCAGGAAAGGTCAGGGATAAAAGGTGATAGGGAAGATGGCAAGGGTTGCGTCATCTCCTCCATTCCCCCCGTCGAGTGAGGTAGCAGACAAAGAAACAGACGCAGCAGCAGCAGCAGCAGCAGCAAGCAAAAGAGCAACAGCTCCAGCAGCAGCAGCAGAACACTAAACAGAAGCAGGTGCCTCAACAGCAGTGACAGTAGAAACCGACTCAGCAGCATCCCGTTCAGCAGCAGCTGTCTCACCAACACCAGCACGACCAACTGCAGGAGAAGCAGGAGGAGCAACTGATGGCGGTGAAGAAGATGCCTCACTTAAATCCTCTTTGCTCAAGAGGTGGAGGGAAGATGATGAGAAGGGGAGAAGGACCAAAGCAGAGTACACAATCTGCCCCTATTTCGCCAGAAATAAAAGTGGATGACCCTGCGCATGGTAAAGTAAGGAACATCCTTTCTTCCCCCTTTAGGTCTACGTCATCTCTCTCTGCAGCCCGCCGCAAAAAAAGGAAGCTCTTCCCTAAGGATAAGATATATGTAAGGGGACTTTCTAGTCACAGGAAGAACCTCTTATGACCGCGGTTCAAATTCACCTCGGTTGATAGCATCTTCGGTTTGGATCTGGCTGCGATCCAGGAGTCTCACTTTGCGACGACGTCGATGCTCGTGTTTTCTCTAGAGACTTTTTTTAAATTTATTTATTCAGCATACGGAGACGGACAGGCCAGAGGAGTTTCCTTGCTGGTGAAGCATTCCCTAGACGTAAGGTTGGAATTTGTTCACGTCGATGCGAGGTGCCAGTTGGTCGTGGCTGACATTGCCGTGAAAAGTGGTTCGTTTAGAGTCGTGCCCAAAGATTAGACGGAGTGTTGTTCGTGCTTACCCCAGTTGGGACAGTTCCTGGTGGACCCGGTGTGTTTAATCATAATATGGGAATAGAATGCTAATCTAAACACTAAGATAAATCAGGTGAGCAAGGAGGTAACGGGTTTAGCGTAACTTGATCGATTTTATCAACAAATTTGGTCTAGACGATAGATACCGGATCGATCGACCTGGGTGGGAGATGTGAACGTCGGCTCAGGTGGTTAGCTACTTAGAATGTTAGTGAGAAGAATATATCTAGAGTGTCCCACATTCCAGTTGTTAATTCATTCGGACCACAGACTCGTTTTTGCCCGGATAGCGTTAAACGCTAGTTCTAGAATGGCTAGACATAGGAAGTTCAACGTGTCCTTACTGGACAAAGAGGAAATACTTCGTGGTTCCAATATTTTTATTCGCTAGATCGACACCCCAGATAGACACAGCTTGCAAACGACAGCATTTCCAGAAACAATTCATTTTGAGGAGCCTTATCTTTGAGATTGAGAGCACTCGTACTCGAGGGAGCGGTCACAGAGGGCGAGGTCGACGAGGCATTGGAGAGGGTCTTGATGGTCTGCTCTAAGAATTGTACTTAAAGCTGTCACACATGTTTGACAATGGTGTTCAGTAACTGATTCTTTAAGGAGTCAGTCCTCAATCGAATCTCCAGGGATATGATCACGCTGTTCAAAAAGGACAAGAATGGTGAGCGAGATTTAGACGATTATAGGCCCATAATTTTACTAAACACAGAGTTAAAGATTTGGGCCAAGATCCTGACGAAGCATTTGCAGACAGTTGCCGAGATTCTGATGAGCAGACTTGTGCGAACAATTCAGAGCATCCTGCATCTGATCCGCACAATCATAGCGGGGTGGAGGCGTAGAAGACGACAGAAATGTTGCACCGATCAATTTGGTTCAGTCCAAGGCTTTCAAAATGGTCGGCCATCAGTTCCTGGCATCTGTTCTGCAAGCCGCCGGATTCTAACCCGACTTCTGCAAGTGGACTAGCCTGCTGTATCGCTCCCCAATGCGTTAGAACAGGTGAAGGGGAAGCGGTCGAATGCATTTGTGATATCACAGTCGGTTCGGCAGGTTTGTCCTCTGTTGTACCTACTTTACGTTAGTGACAGGGCATGTAATCCTACCCTACGCGAAATCTGTGTCCCTGGAACGGCTCGTGACAATGTTTCCCCATACGCCGTTCATAGGCGACAGTGTTATAGTGGAACACATCTATTCTATAGTTAATAGACTCTCCCACCTATAATAAGTAGGAGTAGTAAGAGTAACAAGTCAGTCGCTCAGTGAGTTGGTTAGTCAGTCGATGTAGGACGACCGTTAGTCGGATATTAAAGTGTCAGCCACCACAACTAGATTATTGCGTCATTAACTATTATATCAAGTTCCTTACGTTATGTACGTCGAACCTATTTTAGGACCAACTTAGTACAAATACAAGCCTCCACTGTGAAACCGCTACATAACAACTTGGCAACGAGGGATTCGAACTCATACGGAGGAAGAAAAACCTTTCGTACTACATAACAGACAGTGAGGTGATGCAGAAGGCGCTTGAACAATAGAGAAAGTCCCCGTACCAAGAGTAACCGTAACAAATCTTCCGGCTTGCGGTTAAGTGCTTGGAAGGACGTTGCTCTTCCGGTGCCATTCAGTTGGACTGATTTTCCTGTTCACATTCTTGGACTGTAGTTCTGACTTGATCTTCAGCTGGAGAATAAATTGGTCGTAGGTACGAGCAAAGGTAGTAGGATTGGCGGTCTGTATTGGCTCCGAAGGCTGTTGTCCATAAAGGGTAATGGCCTGTCACCGACTTGCCTCGAGATTTGTTTTCCTACTTCCAGCATTGATAGAGGAACCACTGTGGGAGGCGCGTGTTAGATCCACCTTCCTAGCCTTACTATCAATCCTTTCCGTTCTGGGGTTGTCCAACTTCGTAAGCCTCGGCATCAGTCGTATTTCCTCACCAAGTGTCGTTAGGGTTGTGTGTTACTCCTCGGTCCAATGAAATTTCACGGCCTAGGAAGTCATTGTATAGAGGATTAGTGGAAGGAATCAGGTCGGATGCACTTGGACAGCCAGGTGTGGATTACTTCAGCTGCCCCCCTTTTTTGTTTGACAATTAATTCGGAATGCTCTCTCGCACACAGACTCTCTCTCTCTCTCTCTCTCTCTCTCTCTCTCATAGATAGGGCTTGGAAGAAATGCTCAATTGTCAACGGTTTATATATCGTGGTTTGGAAGAAAGAGCTGATATTACTTTCTTTCTTTGACCACAGGTGTGCCATTTCTTGGATCATGTCGGCGATTTGACGGCTCGTATCGATCTCGAACATCTCGTGTCCATCGATCTCGCATACATGTCTGATAGTCGTCCCAGTAGACTGGGTGAAATGTTTGGTGTTTCTTACGCTGCCAGCCATAACAAGTGGGTGAATTTTACTGGAGAAACACTATTCACGTCATGATATGATTGGATTATTTGGACATCAGCTTAGGATGAAAATTGGAAACTGATAGAAAGCGTTTACTAGCGGCAGGTTTCAGGGAAAGGTGTGTGCAAGTTGCAAGCCTGGTTCACGGGAATCGGCCAATCTTGATTTGCTTATTTTGTTCCCTAAAACGCAACAGGTTGGATTCCTGACAGTATCCATCCATGGTTAAGCTGAGTGGCTGTTATTCCTGGGCTGGTCCCAGCGTTCTATTTTGTTATGCTTCTTGTCTAGATTCCCTATCTCACCATTTTGTTCATACCCCCTTTTTTTCTTGACTTGATCAGCCGTATATTCCCAGCATTCCATTTTGATTTGTATTTCCTCCGCCATTATGAGTGATGTTCTTGATTTTGTTTATGGGTAGAATATAGCGGTCGTTCTTAATTTTGTAATTTGGACGGGTCTTACTAAAATAGTTTTATTTTAGTTTGAATGTTTTAGTTTCTTTTTATTTTCATTATTCGGTTCATACCCGCTTATTTTATTATACATTTTAATCCCTTTTTCAAAATTGTAAAAGAAAGAAAAAAATAAATTTGTACATATTTAACATTCTTTACAACAAGAGTTCACGTGAACAAGACCTCGGTGAATATGTGGTATTATGTTGGTCCGGAAGCGGTAGGATGGTTTCTTGTAGTAAGTGAGGAAATTGTTAGGGTGAATGTTTGGCAAATCGGATTAGCTAGGTGTAGGATAGGCATTGAAGACCAAACTTTTCCTACTTCTTAGGTCTTGTGCCATATAGCAATGTAGTTAAAGTAAATTATTTTCCGAGAGACAGCACAATGAATTCTTTTCCGTTGTAAGACTTGGTTTTTCCAGTTTTCGCCTTCGTCGATACAAGTTTTTAACTTGATGTTGAACTATTTAAAAATTAACGATTTTAAATTTTGAACACCATCTTTTTAATTTAAGGGTCAGTAATTGTAATTATGAAAAACTGGACACATAAGCAAAAATCAATATTTTCAAGAAATGAAATATTCAATAATATTTAATTGAATTTGAATATTAACAAATAGCATCTTCTTTATGTATACATCATTTGTGATGGAAAGGTTGATGCGATTTGCAAGATTCACGTGAACTTCACATTACTTTACATTCATTCTTTGTGCGTTCAATTGAATTTGTTACATCCGTGATTTTCATTGAGTACACCTTCTCCTTTAGCAGACCCCAGAAAAAAAGAAAAAAAGACAAGATTATTTCTTTCTTCTTTATCTCATTTTTTTTTTAGTATTTCACTCCAAGCAAGGCAGGAGTGTCACTTGCACGCAAGGAGTTACAGAGAGTGCGAGCAAGAGTAAAGAAGCATGATAGAGGAAAGGGTGAAGAGAATGACGGTGAACTAGATCAAGGCATCTGAAGATGTCGATTGACACTGCATTTGAATAATTGAAAACTTTCAGGGAAGCAAGTAAGAGGAAGGGTGTTCGACACCATAGAAGTGCGAGACATGAAGATATTGGAGTAGAAGAGACGGCTACATTTAACAGTGGGACTGAGATGTCAACCTAGTTGGACGTTTAAATTCATGCAGTTTGGGAACTAGCGAAAGTAGCTTGTTGGAGCAGTTACCGTGAAAATATTTGCAGAAAAGACAGAGGGAAGTGACGGCAGGTCTGTGAGAGAGCGACTGTAAGCGAGATGCCTGACCAGGACCAATCACATTGCATATCCGTCTCTGGATTTGTCGAGGATCTTTGAAACGAACAGCGGGGGCTCCAGACCCTATATAGCAGTAGTATTTCCATACAAGGGCTAATAGTTGATATATGGATTCGAAAGATGGACTTAGGCGGGAAAAACTTTCGGGGGACGACACACAGAATCGACTTTCCTTGCGGCAGATGAAGCTTTCCACAAAACTGCGATTAATCTGTGGAAGTAAAAAAAAAAAATGGAGTTAATGAGATTTCCTACCTGTTCAGATTTAGAGACACTCTGTACAAGGCCAGTTGTTTCAGGCGCTTAGTGTGTATTGAAATCACAGTAATAATATACTGACGATAACACGGAGAAAGGCGCTCATTTGCCTTCGCTATCTGTAGATAGGTGTACCGCTTCGTTCAAATATTTATACGTATCTCCCTGCCTAACAATTTGCGTGTGACTGTGAGTATACATAAACGCGTATCTGTATTCCTCCTTGATAATGTACGCCACGTGTGTAACTATTTAAAGCGACGCATCCATTTTCGTGGTTTTATTTGTTTCGGGTTACCATACGCATATCAATAAATCTGTGTAGATAGGAGTTCATTCGATTCCTTTTGGTGTGTCTGACTGTCCGTATATCAGCATTATTCTGGTCTGGTCATTTCGTATTAGCCTCATGTTCTGCTGGGAGCTGACACCGTGAAAGAGGAGAACAGAGGAATGCCATTAATGTTTCGTGTCTTCAGAGCATCGGGGTTTAGAACATGCCAAACTGGAACACAATGTTTCTACAACTGCAAAAGTCCCTCTATTCGTAGAAGTTGTGATCTATCTATCTATCTATCTATCTATCTATCTATCTATCTATCTATCTATCTGCATGTCAGAACTATCAGTTTTCCCGTAACCGTTATTCTGCTATCTATCTATCTATCTATCTATCTATCTATCTATCTATTTATCTATCTATCTATCTATCTATCTGATTTCTCAGACTTTATGTAGTCATTATTCAGCCCATATCTATCTATCTATCTATCTATCTATCTATCTATCTGTTTTTCTGCTTTCTCAGGCTTTGTGTAACCATTATTCAGCCCATATCTATCTATCTATCTATCTATCTATCTATCTGCTTTCTCAGCCTTTATGTAACCATTATTCAGCCCATATCTATCTATCTATCTATCTATCTATCTATCTATCTATCTATCTATATCTGCTTTCTCAGCCTTTATGTAACCATTATTCAGCCCATATCTATTATCTTCATCTATCTATCTATCTATCTATCTATCTGATCTTTATGTAGTCATTATTCAGCCCATATCTATCTATCTATCTATCTATCTATCTATTTTATCTGTTTTTCTGCTTTCTCAGGCTTTGTGTAACCATTATTCAGCCCATATCTATCTATCTATCTATCTATCTATCTATCTATCTATCTATCTATCTATCTATCTATCTATCTGCATGTCAGAACTATCAGTTTTCCCGTAACCGTTATTCTGCTCATATCTATCTATCTATCTATCTATCTATCTATCTATCTATCTATCTGATTTCTCAGACTTTATGTAGTCATTATTCAGCCCATATCTATCTATCTATCTATCTATCTATCTATCTATCTATCTATCTATCTATCTATCTATCTATCTGTTTTTCTGCTTTCTCAGGCTTTGTGTAACCATTATTCAGCCCATATCTATCTATCTATCTATCTATCTATCTATCTATCTATCTATCTATCTATCTATCTATCTATCTATCTGCTTTCTCAGCCTTTATGTAACCATTATTCAGCCCATATCTATCTATCTATCTATCTATCTATCTATCTATCTATCTATCTATCTATCTTTCTCAGACTTTTTGTAGTCATTATTCAGCCCATATCCATTATCTATCTATCTATCTATCTATCTATCTCATCTATCTATCTGCTTTCTCAGCCTTTATAACCATTATTCAGCCCATATCTATCTATCTATCTATCTATCTATCTATCTATCTATCTATCTATCTATCTGCTTTCTCAGCCTTTATGTAACCATTATTCAGCTATATCTATCTATCTATCTATCTATCTATCTATCTATCCATCTATCTATCTATCTGATTTCTCAGACTTTATGTATCATTATTCATATCTATCTATCTATCTATCTATCTATCTATCTATCTATCTATCTATCTATCTGTTTTTCTGCTTTCTCATTTCAGTAACCATTATTCAGCCCATATCTATCTATCTATCTATCTATCTAATCTATCTATTATATCTATCTGCTTTCTCAGCCTTTATAACCATTATTCAGCCCATATCTATCTATCTATCTATCTATCTATCTATCTATCTATCTGCATCAGAACTATCAGTTATCTAACCGTTATTCTTTCATCATCTATCTATCTATCTATCTATCTATCTATCTATCTATCTATCTGTTTTTCTGTTTTCTCAGGCTTTGTGTAACCATTATTCAGCCCATATCTATCTATCTATCTATATCTATCTATCTATCTATCTATCTCTTTCAGCCTTTATGTAACCATTATTCTATTATCTATCTATCTATCTATCTATCTATCTATCTATCTATCTATCTATTTGTGTCTGTTGGCTATTTAGTGTGATTTTAATTTTGCTTATGCGATGTCTGTCAAGAACGATCTTTAATATTAATGAAACCGCCTCTCTAGAAAAATTAATCCTTATTCCTCTTCAAATGACGAAGATCTTCAGCATCTCTTCCTCGCTGTCTTAATCATTTCACCCCAGGTAAGGGCATAAAGCTACTAAGACGCAAGCAGTTCCTGACAGTGAAGGGAAATGAGAAAAAGATATTGATGAGAAAGAACAATACAAAGCACAGTAATCATATATATATATATATATATATATATGTGTGTGTGTGTGTGTGTGGTGGGGGTGGTTGTGTGTGTGTAATGTAGTGCGAAATTGATTAAAGCAAACTCCTATTTCGTGATCTTCATCAACTGCCTCATCACGCCTTCTGTTTTGTCATTTATTTGAAATATTCTAAAGGCTATTGAACAGAACTAATTATGAGCCTGAAATGATAAAAGATGAACTTGATTCAAGGAGATAGAGATGGCCATTGACGTCTCATTTAAACGTTTGAAGATTTCAGTTGTCAGAAAAGAGAGTAAACGGAAGCGAGTTCCACAGCCGGGAAGTGTGAGAAACTTTTCGAGTAGAAGTGGTGGTTATATTTAACTATTTCAACTGTAAAAGGTTGGGACCAAGATGTCAAACTAGTAGCAAGCTTAAATTCATGTAGTCGGGTACCATGAAAAAAAAAAAGCTCGTCAAAGCTGTTGCCATGAAAATCTTTGTTAAAGAAACAGAGAGAAACCACGTCGCGTCTGTGAGAAAGGGACTCAAGTCGAAATGGTAAGTCAGAATCGATTACATTCTTTGGATTTAGTCAAGAACCCCTAGATGAATAGCAGGGGCACCAGACCAGAAACGGCAACAATATTTAATGCACGGACGAGTGGTAGATTTGTAAATGGTGCGACACAATAAAGAAACTTTCCTTGCAGTAGATGTATCTAGTGATTCGATGTCGTCGTTCCACTTCAAGACAGTTGAAAAAGTGAGGCCAAGAAGGTGCAGTGTGTTGTTTTCCATGAGCCTAGCAACAACCATGCTGATGAGGTGCAAGGAAGATCCTCTATGTTGGATAAAGGAAAGCATTTACGTTTTAAAGATATTACCATTTACAAACCGTTTCTTCATCCAGTTAACCACTGGTTGGAAGTCCTTTCCGAAAGCAACAGTTATGTTAACTTTGTCAGGTCTGACGGTTTTGCTCGGGAAATAGGTGTAAATGTGAGTATCCTCTACATAAAGGCCTACTTAAGAACAGATGAGACCAGGAAGATTATTGATGAAGTTCAGAAACAGTGGAGGACCCCGGATAGCGCCTAGAGGGTCACTCGTTTTCGTGTGAAAGGATCTGGAAACTAGTGCGTTTCAAAACGACCTTCATTTCATGATTTGATGGGAACGATTGGATTAAATCAAACACACGTCCAGCAACACACTTCCTGGAGCTTTCGTAGAAGACCAGCGTGCCAAACCCTGTCAAAAGCCTTCAAGATATCTAGAGCCACAGCTGGAGCTTCGCAGTTATTATCAAGAGCTTGAAACACATATCCAGTGATGGCCATAAGCAAATCTGCGGTAGATCAGGCAAAACGGAAGACATATTGTTTATATATATATATATATATATATATGTATATGTGTGTGTGTGTGTGTGTGTGTGTGTGTGTCTGACCGTAGTATGATAAATTTTGATAAATCGGAAATAATTTTCATCTTTTAGGTCTTCCTTTTGTTATAGTAAATAAATTTTTATATATTTATATATGATTTTCCGATGTATATATATATATATATATATATATATATATATATATATATATATATATATATATAGGATTGGTGTAGATTGCATAAATTCCAATAACCAAGATAACTATTCTTAAAAGAGTACTCAATACAGAGTAGAGAAAATATTATTTATTATTTTTGTTTTACAAAGTGATGCTGTTGAATGTAGAATGTTTGTACATTAAACACCATAGCTTGGTAAGGTACCAGAACTGTTGAAACAAAATGGATATTTTTGTAGTGATGTTACAACATGTTTATATTATAATTTTTGGATAAATGAATTTATATATATATATATATATATATATATATATATATATATATATATAAATGATGGACTCTCCCAGCGAGTTCAATTTATGAGATTCCATCGACCACGAACTAATTATCTGCATGCCTATGACGGTCATGACTTTTGAGACCGGTTCGAGAATTGTACAAAAGACCACAAACAGTATAGGAGAATGTATTGTGTCCAAGTGCAGCAGGGACACTGTTAGCTGTCTTATTTTCTTTCGTGTTTCACGCAGTCGACTGATGCTTATTCTTATTGGTACATCATTCCTGCATGGCAGCTAGAACTATACTCTGATCTCTCCATAGATACCTCTTCAAAGCTCGTAAATGGAATGTTGACGCAAGAAAGGTTGCTTTTCAGTTTATATTTATACCTGAGACAAGGTGTAGCAACATTTCTATGACCACTATGGAGTTCGCTAAAAAAAAAGAGCTTTTTATACGACCATCAATCATCCTTACCACATGACCAGTCCAGCGTAGTTGTGATTGTATTATGAAGGTCACGATGGTAAAAATCTTGTATTTCTCAAAATTTATATGTATATATTTCTGAAAGGAATATATATAAATAAATTATATGTATATGAAAGGAACATTTGGGCTTAGGATAATTTGTAAAGTGTGACATTTTGATCATTAAATGTGAATTTTCGCTTGCTTGACTAGTCAGACTAGAGGTGCATCAAACGACTTCCACTGGATTTTATCATACATATTATATCGCGCTTTTATGTTAAAATGATCTAGGGCGAATTTGCTGCATCAGTATTTATTACACATAGTAGTTTAATCGCAGTCATGCAGCATACAAAAAAAAAAACATGCCTTACACTTGCATTCGTTAGAAACGCTCAAAGACTGAGAAGAATGAGTTTTAGCAGAAGACGTCTTTTTGGAAGTAGCAGAAGGAGAAATAAGAATTTATGTTGGATTTGTTTTTGTTGCGGATCATTTTTAACGAAAAGCGTTTTTTTTTTTTTTCACACTTTTACCCTCGTGACGTGTAGAGGAAACCATGTGGTGTTTGGTTAAATAAAGATCGGGACAAGACTCACGTTTTACGTGCGATCTCAGCGTCATTTATGCAAGAGGTTTTCGATGCTGTTTCCGCTTTGTTAAAAGCGTCACAAGCAGCAGGTATTTACAATAATGCACATGTGCGCGCATGCGTGTTAAAAGTCTGTTTTGATTTTCCTACATTTGAAAATGCACATTCAAAATATATACATACGGATATATATATATATATATATATATATATATATATATATATATATATATATATATATATATATAAACATATAGCCAGGAAGCAGAGTGAAGAGAGAAAGAAAGGTACATAAAGACTGGGATATAGAAAAGATGGAAGATGTTGAAAGGTATCGGTCAAACATACAAATTTATCAAAATCAAATTAAATAGCCATAAAATAATTTTTTTGAGGAAAATCTCAGAACAGCACTTACGCGCACACACACAAACCACGGACTCATATATATATATATATATATATATATATATATATATATATATATATATATATATATATATATATATATATGCGTGCGTGTTCTAGAGAAGACATTGCACTTACCAAAGATAGTATGTTTGTGGCAATGAAGATTGTAGCAAGATGTCTGGCAGTTTTAGCCTTTGACCAATCATCAGATCTCATCTGGTCATCGTTTGTAGCGAAAAAGTAAACAAACAGCTTTGATTTCTCGGTTTACAATCTAGCTAGCTAGCTATTCTTTTTAGAGAAGCATATATATATATATGTATTAATATGTATATAGACATGAGTGCTTATTATATGGGTATATGTACAAACAAAATTACATGTACAGAAAATACAGATGTATGTTATCATTTATGTAGGCATACGTATGGATGTAGGTAAATAACAATTTGTATTTTCATGATTATACATACACAAACGTATATATATATATATATATATATATATATATATATATATATATATATATATATATATATATATATATATATATATGTACAGCCATGGTCAAAATTATGGAGCACCTATAAAAATTTGAGATAATAGTTTAAACCTACGTATTTCAAGGTTAAGAATCAAACAGTGAACAATTGAGAGAAAATGTAAAATATTTAACAGTATATTGTAGTATTTTTTTTTTTGCTTTAAAGCCTCTCTCAAGAGCTTTAGCTGAGTTTCGTACTAAATTCATTCCAATATTCAAAATGATTTATTGTCATACTAAAGGTTTGTTTCGTAATTTTCGGGTAATATTTGATTCCCACCAGTGTATATTTAATTGAAAATGCCTCCAAAGAAGCAGCTTTCAGAGATTAAAAGGGCACAAATTGTTGCTTTATCTGGTGAAGAATATTCTCAGGTAGAAATTGCCAGGAAGATGAAATGTTCAAGGAAGGGGGTTCAAACAACGATTAAAAGGTACAAGGAAAAAAAGTCTTTCAAAAACAGAAAAGGACAAGGCCGTAAAAAGTCTACAACCGCCAGGGAAGACAGATCTTTGAAAAGAGCATCCTTTGCAGATAGGAGGAAAAGTTCTTCAGAGCTTGCTGCTGAACTTAGGGAGGATGCAAACAAAAACATATCAGCTCGAACAGTGAGAAGAAGGTTATTAGAAGTGGGATTAAAAGGATGCAAATCCAGGAAGAAGCCATACTTGTCTCAGACCAACAAAAGAAAAACGACTGGAATTTGCAAAAAACCATGAAAATTGGACACCTGATGATTGGGGCAAAATTGTTTGGTCTGACGAAAGTAACTTTGAGGTAAGTTAACTGCTTCTATTTCCTAAACTTTGATGTAATAATTGAAAATTTTATGTGAATACACATCCATAACATTTATTCAAAAATTGTAACAAATTCTTTTTTTTTTTTTTTTTCATCAG